TATATATATATATGAACTAGTATATGTATGATAAATATATATATGAGCTTACGACTACCAATGTTCATCACCTTAACCTTATAATCAGAAGGCATGGGAACTCCTGGATTAAGCATTGGGAGAAACTAGGCTTCGTAGAAGACTTTTTGATGGAACGAACCCGAGTTTGCCATGAAAACCACCCACGGTTAGCCCGACAGCAAAATTCATGTCAACCAGCCATCGCTAAGATTCTTACCTAGTTCGCCTAATTGTGAGAAGAGCGTTTTTTCCCTGGGCCACCAATATAAATAAGCTATACGATAAATTGTACAGCTTTGTTGGAGAGAATTTTTTTTAATCTAATTTTGATTGTTTCCTCTCCTCCCCCTTAATACAGCAAGAGGAGAGAAGCAAGAAGCTGGAGGAGAATTTAAAGAAGAGGGATGAATGGAAGCAGAAAGGAGATGATCTTCTTTATTCGATGATCCCTAAAGCAGTTGCCCTAAGGTTGAGAAATGGAGAAGATGCAATAGAAACATGTGAGGTAAATATCAATATAACTATTTTTAATTTCATTAAAATATTGGTTCTAATTCGTTCAACTTTTTCTTAAGTACTCGATAGGGAAGGAAAAAAAATAGAACAGAAATAAGTACGGTAGAGTGGGGTCAATTGTAACAGGGTACGATTGTAACAGTGCAAAAATTTCGAGTGTCGGATTCTAGATTTGGTTCCGTGGCGCACAAGGTGTATTTAATAAATTTACATGTACATCCCTGCTGGCAACCATTTTTATGTACTTTTGAAAGAGTTACATCACAAAAAAAAATTTCACGCTACGTAAGTACTTTTTTTTGGTATTAGAATATTATATTGTAACAAAGTAATTTTGTTTAAACAAATAAAAATTATTAACCGAATATGTAAGTGGACACCTTAATTAACTTTTCAATAAAAAGATTAGTTTTGTTAATTAACTAGCATTGTTTTTAACAAATGAAGCTGAAATGGCGTCTTGGGGACGATTGTAACAATAAGTAAAGGGACGATTGTAACAGCTGAAAATAAATAATCTTATGTTTACAAACCATTACTTAACTCTTTAAGAACCACCAATAGTTTCCTATATCATTTATATTATGTTGCATGTGCATTATTTTATTTGTCACCTTTCACAGCATAAATTAAAATTTTTAACCCCTTAAAGTTAAAAGTTTAACCCTTTAGGTCTCTGCTCATTATTATTTTTACTCCTAAAATATCACAACCATTTTGATCAATAAAAAAATATATCACAACTATGATAATATGTATAATAACTATGTTTTAGTTGAATTTATGAACTGTTACAATTGACCCCGTAAGTGGGGACAATTGTAACATGTGCACGACTGTCAAAAATTGTAAATAGCTAATATAATAACATCTAAAATAAGGTATTTATTTTTTTTTTCTAGTTGAGGATAATCTACTTTACTCGTCTGTCAATTAATACTAATAATATATTGGACTTTTTGTTAGTTAAAAATAGTTAAGTAAAAAATTTTACAATTGACCCCACTCTGCCCAACCTTAAAAAGTTTTTCGAATCTATCTGTTAATCTGTTTTTAAGAAAAATTATTAACAAGTAATAATTTCTTCAATTGCTTGGAGGCTGCCTTTTTTTCATTAATTTTGTTTTCCGTTCATATCATTTTTTTTAATTTTCAATTACTACATATTTCCAAAAATTAAGCATCACTGGCCATAATAATAGTATGTTGACTTTTTACGGTTATAATATGTTGACTTTTTACGAATGCTCCAATTTTGAAATGCCCACCCCAAGTTTGGGCAAGAGAAAAAGCGGCGCTTCAATACCGTGAAGCCCAAACTCAGTTAGTCCAATGCATAATTTACCATTTTCCCAGTAGATGACGATTACTTGTTTTTAAATTTTCCCTCGAAAAGTTCGGCAATTTCGGGCCATTTGTTGGACTTTTGTAATTTTGCAGTTTGTCTTGAATTTCATTCAAACCACATTATATTCGCAATTGTCGAAATCAGACGATGATGAAGAATTTTAGGCTTTTCATGATCAATTAAGTCATTTAAATTATTTTGCTACTATTTGAGCAAAAAATTACAGTCACCCATCTACATTTTCTATATACGTGAAAATATCGAATATAGCGTTTATTTCACTTGAAATGTTTTTTTTTTCCTATTGAAAAAAAATAATCTTATTTCTAATATTTTGATGATAATAACTAAGGCCCGGATTTTGATGACATTTGCATTTTTTGTCCTTTAGAGCATTTTTTTAGATTTATAGGGCATTTTTTTAAAAAATTTTGGGGCTTATTTTGCATTTTAAAGCATTGTTAATTTATTATTTTATTTAAGTTGTTACATTCATTAAGGTTTTTATACAAAATGAAAATGTTTTGGAGTCAATATATTTTCCTTTTTTTTTGTTATTTTAGTATATAAGACATATTTTTAAAACAACAAGTATTGCATTGCTTTATATTTTTTGAAATGACTCACAATAATTTTAAAGAGTAAAACATTGTTTTGGTTCGATATTTCTACTTTATTTAAGTCATGTCATAAGGCATTTTTAGAGCATTTTTCACGGGCATTTTTTGCACTTTTTAAGGGCATTAGTTGATATTTTTTAGGTTATCAAAATCCGGGCTCTAATAATAACCTAAGCAATTAAAGAGAAATTTTTTTTCTTTCGTTTTTAACACGTATTTTTTTTTTAAATATATGCCACGCGCAAGAGCTTAAGAGGCAAGAAACTACATATGCAGTGATTTAGGTCTTATGGTCTATGTAAATTTTTGCAATTGGAAAAAAAAATATTCCACCTTAAGAGCTATTTTCGGGGAAGGAAGGGGCATGATTTTTTGCATGCATGATTTTTTGAATATGCATGATTTTTTTTTTAATGAGTATGTATGTATTTTTTCCGATGAATTTTTTATGCTATTCATAAAAAATAATCTTATGCGAAGTCAATAGGACTGATAATTTAAAGGTTAATTAGGTTTTTAAGTATAAAAAGTAAAATTTTGTTTTATATTTAATTACGCATCTGACTTTGCTATTTAGGCAAGTGAGGTAATGTTCTTTATGCTTTTTATGAGAACTGAGATGTTTTTACTACTAATACTTCATACTTTTTCAAATATTTTTGGAAAATTGTAGTCTTGGCTTAAACATATTATTGAGAAAATATATTTTTTGATACTGTTTTAGTCTTTTGACAACGTAACCGTCCTATTTGGAGAAATAGTGGAGTTTTCCGAATTATGTACCCGACTCACAGCCATGGAAGCCGTCTCCTGCATAAATGAAGTATTCTCACTCTTTGATAAAGTCACCGACTCTTACAACGTATTTAAAGTAAGTAAAGTCTATCTTAACATCAAGTATTTGATCGAATATTGAAATATGATTCTTTTAATAACAGGAATGTATTATTAAAAAATACTGACCATCTTTAATATTGCAGTTTTAAACTCCTTATTAAAAAATTCAAAATAAACACATGAAAGCTGGCCCTATTGAAGTTTAATTTAATTGAAAATAATACTATCGAAGTCTGCCGAATCACTAGGGAGAAAGATAGGTGTAAAACCATGAAAGCCAGTTTTATTGCCTGGCGTTTTTATATTTTATTAATGGCGTTTTTATTGCCACCTTCCAACTCCTCTCAGTTTCCTGGGGAAATCAAACAAATTTTGACGTTTTCAGATAACCTTCTTCAATAGTGATTAATTAGAATATTCGTTTCTTACTTTTCCTCGATTAAGCAATTATTTTCGGCAATTATTCCCATAATATAATACTTTTTAAGCTTCATTTATGATAGGAATTTAAAAATTTATATCAAGAGCGAAAAGTTAGAAACATCCTGATGTGAGCATGATAAACGTTTTGTAAATGCTCTTATTTTTATATTGTAAGGTAACCAGCGTCCTCCTAAAGCTATAGTTTGTATAAGTAAAGAACTCCCTTAGCCATTCGTCTGGAGTAGTGAAGGTGATTATGGCAACGAGGTTTAACCTTAAGTTGGGTCATTATTTAAGATAGGATTCGGTTCGGGTCCGCGAGAGAAAGGGAATCAGATGAGAAAGTAGCTCCCCTCTTTGAAATGCGCTATTTCTTCTGTCTATAGCAGTGGCAGAAGGCCTTAGATTTTGTAGCGAGGGGAGTTCTCTCTATAGACAAACTGTAGCAAATTTTTTCAATGACCATTCAAAAACTTACGCCTTTACCATACTAATTATTTAAAATATATATATATCTATTAGAGAATCTCTGTGAATGATTTCTGTTCTTAGAATATTAAATTGAAAAGGTAAAGCTATGAGTTTTCAAAGATCTGTATAGAAATTTTACTACCAGCTTTTTAGGTTTAGAAGGACGCAGGTCAACTTATTGTGTAAAAATAATCGTGTTAAATACTCGTTTAATAATTAAAACACTTGGTTTAAAAACTTTTTTCATTTTACTTATATTTAATATTTTTTAATGTTTTTCAATTATTCTAAAATTATTCCGTTGCTCTACCCATAAGTGAAAGGCATTTTCTAAAATTTTAATTAGGAAGGTAATTATTGTTCAGCATGATTGAAAAGGACGACTCTTTAAACAATAATAATTGCGTGTTCACACCATACTCAAATTGCATTACACAGGAATTAACCCTACGTTTAACATGGTAGGAGTTATGATAATTCAACATCAGGATCAAGCAATATCTTGGAGAATCTTCTCAAGATTTATATACAAAGGTTGGACAACATTGTAACATAAGCACATCTGTACTACCACTGCAGAAGCAGTCTTTCTTTTAGCTGAAAATGTTTCGAAAAATTTTACTTAACAAAATATGTAACACGTTTTGGGAGACAGTGATCAAAGCTATTTGGGATAGAGAAAATAGCTTAATTTTTATTCATGCGAAACTTGTTTTGATCAAAATGAGCGAAACAAGTTCAAAAAGTCTTCTTTTTATTGAAACCAGAAATTTCGAAATATTTTTAGATGTATGATTGCACTTTTTTTTTATTTTTAATACCAGCAGCTTTGAAAGTATTCTTTAAGCTTGTAATAGGAATAGAAATAATATTTTCAGAATATTGATGGTAAAAATAAAGTTAGAACCGTGCAATCCAATCTTAAAAATGTAACGTAATAAGTTTAGAGAAAGATTTGTAAGAGTGTTTATTTAGAAAAGAACCAGCCAGCAAAATATTACTTTTTTCTTAGTCAATAAAATTTTGCATGGGTAAAAATGAACACCATTTCTATTTTTTCAATCGCGAACTTTTAAAATGTACAGTGGGCAAAATAAAAAACGGACCATCTTGAATAGCTTTTGAAATAACGATTGGATCTTCTCATTCTAGTACTCAATAATCGTAATAGTTCAACCTTTATTATGCATTTTAAATTACGAAATCAGTCACAAAAACGTGCTTTCTCCGGAATTTCTTTGACTGATTCGGAAATTCAATAAATAGGGATAGACGCAATCTGAGAAAGTTCCTAAGAAATCAAATTTTGAAAAAAAAAACAAAGTATTTTTGATTTCTCAGGAACTATTTGACCAATTTTGCTGAAATATTGTGTTTTTCCATTTAAAATTGCATTCTTTGGAAATTCAATAAATCCCAATAATTTATAATTATTAAAGTTTTAATTATTAGTTAATGATCACTCTAGTATCCCTTTTTTTCAAAATGTTTGGAAATTCATTTTTTTCCCCTTCAAATTTCTACATCTTAGCGTCTATAATCCTAAGGGTCAATCCTCTTGATTCCTGTTGAACTTGTTTGTTGTAATTTTTTCTGCGAGTCTATAGTTTGTCTAAAGTAAAAACTCCCCTAGCCACTCGTCTGGATCCTATGGTAACGAGGTATAACTATTTCAAGTAGGGGTGTGGGGTCATTGTTTAGAACAGATTTTGACTTGGATCGGTGTAAGAAAGGGAATCTATTTCTTCTGTCTACTGTGTTAGCCCTAAAATAAAGAGAAACTACCCTCCCTGAAATGTGCTATTCGTGTTTCCATAGCAGCAGACAGCCTCAGACTTCGTGGTGAGGAGAGTTCTTACCGAAGACAAACTATATGTTTCTCTTTTCATTCTGCGTTTCGATACTGAAGAAAGTGTATCATTATAGTAACGAAATCTCATCTCAGAATCCTAATTATCTGACATTATTTGTGCTATTCTGTTGTTTCACTTTTATTCATACACAAAACTTAGTTCGTCTCTTTATTTGGATATTGGTCTTGATAAACAAGTTGGATTAAATATTAACCATTAAGCACACATTATCATGAACCATTTCTCAGTCATATGTAGAATTGTAAATTTAAATGTTTGCGCAGTTAATTATACTTTCTATGAGTTCATTAGGTGGAAACAGTTGGTCAAGTGTATATGCTAGTCAGCGGGGCACCCGAAAGGAGACCTGATCATGCTGAAAATGTAGCCAGGGCTGCTTTAGACATGATGGCTCAAGTCAATGGTATGACCACATCTGATGGAGAGAAAATTATGGTGAGAATAGGTAGGAATATAACTTTATTTGACAGTTTTGTAAATTAATTTTATTTAAAAAAATAAAATTCAATACTTAAGACAGTTCCCAACATCCAATTTGCTCAATTCTTTACAAATATATAAGGCTTGAAAGGCTACATATACCAAGATGGAAAAGGGCAAAAACTGGTATGAAAAGCATTTCAATCTAGCATCTTTCTAGAAATTCAATCTAGCAATTTTCTAGTAAAATTAAATTTCTGCAACTACCAAGAATTTTTTACAATTATAGCATATATATAAAACTGCTCTCATAGTTATAGTTAATCTCATATATATATATGCAAAACGCCTGCACGCCCCCTGACCCCCTTTCCTCCCTTATTGATATTTTCTTTATTCGATGAAAATGTAGATAGCCCTGCGGGCTAGGAGCACTGAAAACGAAATTTTAAATCGGTTATAGTTAACACCCCCTAGATAGATCACAATCAGCTACATATAGATACATCTGAGGAGAAGAAATTACTATTAAGATGATCCTCGACTTGGGAGTATACACTAGTTAAATTATGCAATCACATGCTTATGCCTCACGCCAAAAGTCTTAGCCGACCAAGGGCTAATTAGACAGATGAAGAAATTTCTTTTTCCTTCACATACATATCTAGATTGTGGGAATGGCCTCACGAATGAGTGGTGCTGCCGTCTATACAAAGGGTTCTCTGCTACATCGCACTTCACCCTAGTGGTGCTCTCTTATAAAACAAAAAGCGCTTTTTCCTAGCTTAATTCGTGAGGCCTATGGCTGAAGAGTCCTTGTCCTTATGTTATTAGAAGCAATAGCAACATAAGGTCGTAACCAAAACTTTCAAGAATTGTTTTTATTTGTTTTTAAGCAAAATCGTAAAGGTTATAATTCGTTAAAAATTTTATTTCCTTAATTCCTTTTTAAGTAACAGAAAATTAAAAAAATTACGTATTTGTTGGATAACAGTTATCTTTGCAAAACAGTTAGCATAAAACTAATAATATTTAAATTGTCTGAATTTAGTATTAACTTCCTTTAAGACGAGCTTATAAAACTATCATGGTTTTTAAGTAATCCAACTTTAAAAAGTAGTAACGCATTTATTTAAAATCACGGATGACAAAAGAAATTTTTCTTCGCATATCTAATATTCTAATTAAAAAAACAATAACATTATTATAAGTATTATTAAAGTATTTTAGAAGCCACAAATAATCTTTCGTTTTCTTGATGATTATCTTTTAAAATGTTTCAAACTATGAACACATAGCTGATAACGCGGAAGTCACAGAATATTCATGCTTAACTTAATTTGTCTAATTTTGCCCGCATTTATAAACTTCTCTTCTGAACAAATAGGTTTTATACAAGTATATGTTTTAGTTCTTTATATGTAGCGGAGTAAAAAATCATTCTTAATTAAATTTATGAAATAAATAATAAAACGTTAAATCATAACTTTTAAAAACATTCAAATCCATTTTGAACTATGGAATCAAGAAATTCTACAAAAATAATTAATATTAAACTCTTATCTACCACCTTTTAATTTAAAATATTTTGATCATATTAAATCATTTTATAAATTTCTGAGTAATACAACCTCTAAAGGCAAATAAAATCACTAACATGTCGCTAAATGGCCCGAATGGCAAGACTTATTCCGATATTGAAAAATGCGAAATTTTCACAAACGCAGATGAAAGACAATTTTCGCTCAATAATGATCCTGTTGATGCGAATTCCGATGACATTATCATGAATGCTGTCAGTAATTTCTTGAAAAATGATTATCAGTTAACCTCAGAATCTAGCCACTATGGAAGAGATCACCAAATTTCAGAATAGTAAAGCTCCCGGTAATGATAATATAAATAACCTCATGATTAAAAGCCTCCCTCCCAACTTCATCGAGCAGCTGCTAAATAATATCAATGCTTGCCTGAAACAAATATCCCCCCCCCCAAATGGAAACACTCTCAGGTTGTGCTCTTCCCCAAGCAGGGGGAAAATCTTCTATAAAGCTACAGACCTATTAGTTTGCTGACCGTATTTTCAAAAATTTTTGAGAAGATGATCCTCAAGACTAAAGCCCTATCTCAGTTTTATCCCGGATGAACAATTCGGTTTTCGAGAACACTTATCCATCACACTAAACAACTAGTGAGAATATTAACCAAGGATTCTTCAAAAAAGAAACAACAGCGCTCCTGATGTTGGATGTGGCCAAAGCCTTTGAGCGAGTCTGGCATCAGGGCCTCATATACAAGCTCATAAATTTCAATATCCCTAAAGATCTAGTACGTACTACTAATTAATAATTATCTGACAAACAGAACTTTTCGTATTAAGATCAATACAGCATGTTCTTCCACTAGATGCCTTAGAGCAGGAGTTCCGCAAGGATCAATCCTCGGCCCTGTGCTCTACCTAATTTATTCAGCGGACTTTCCAAATTTTAATAATATGAGAAACATCACCTCAGCCTTCTACGCAGATGATACAGCACTTATGAGCAGATCAATAAATCCTAAGAAGTCAGTTACTAATCTCAGTAATATCATACCTCATATCGAAGACTGGTGCACAAAATGGAAGGTAGCCATCAACACCACCAAATCTTCACTACTAATTATTAAAATATCAAGTAAAAAGAAAGTCATTTATCCAAATATTACTATTTTCAATGATACAATACCACTAGTTCGAAAGGCCACCTACCTAGGTGTCATTCTTACTAGTTCTTTAAACTGGAATTCCGATATTGATAATATTCTTAGCAAAGCGCAAGAAACCTATAGAGCTCTGAAACCGATATTAAACTATAACTCAAAACTTGCACTCAAAACAAAACGAGCGCTATACCTCCAATGCATTCGACCAATCATCAGCTACGCAGCCCCTGCATGGCGCACAACCACTGCAATAATAAACAACCACTGCTATATGCAATAAATTTCTCAGATACATCACTGGAGCCCCCAGATCCATGAGAATGAAAGATCTAAGAAGAGATTTAAAAATCAACAAAATAGGTGAATACGTGCTGAACTATGTGCAAGTTTCTTCACAGATGCTCTCTCTTGTCATACGTGCAACTACTTTAAAAACTTTGATTTTGAGCTCATCAAAGACAACATAAAATATAGCCCGGCAACCGCCTTCTTCCTATCCGATGGAGTTTAGTCCCGTAAATTCTGTAAATACTTGTATATATTTTTGCGCATTTATCCTTATGTATTTTTCCTATTTCTCTGAGGCTATGTGGCTACTGGGCACCTCAGAAGCTCGGGGGTAATACCTCCAGGGGAGAAGAAGCAGTCTGCCCCAAAAACCTCTTCCTCTCTTAAATTTGTTTGTTTAATCTCGCTACTTCATTTTAATTTTCTCTCAGTAAATGTTACTGAACCCCAACTTTCACCTTTCAGTTGCGCTTCGGCCATTTATTATTTATTCCCACTCAGATGAATTAGTGAGAGCCCCTCGCGGGGCTGATGTTAAGATAACCACCACATATGAGTATGAGTTCATAGATTGAGAGTTACTGTGCGAGAATACTAATAATAATTTAATTACTTCTGATATAATAGTAGCGATGTAGTTTTTAATAAAAATACATTTATGTAAAATTTTACGACCACTTCAAAGGATTGAATCGTTTTTACTACGTAACTGGATTACATAAAGAAAATTTCATAATTGCGAATTTCTACAATCATTGAGGAGAATGTTTTAAAGAGGTGGCACTGTTTTTGTTTAAAGTTGAAACCTTGTTGGTTTCTAAAAGAATTTGTTTCACCTACCACAATGTACCAGATATANTTATATGTGTAAATTTAGTTTCGATATTCAAATGTTTATTTACCCAAGCAAAGTGCTTGTAATTTTGTATTAGCAACCACATCGACTGCTAAATTCAAAATGTTATCACTTTAAACTTATGTAAATTTCTAGATGTATGGGATAGGGGCCGCTGCGCGGCCCAGGTGCCCAATTTTTTATAAATAAAGTAAATAAAAGTAGTTACTAAGCCATGCACAGAGTATATACCTGCACTACATCGACCAAAGCTTCTGCTACTCTAGTATCTCTTGCTAACGACAGTACTCGAGTATCTCATGACGAAGGAGTGGAGTGTGGTACTCCGTAACAGAAATCAGTCTAAAGTCATAGTTAACACCCCTTAGATAGATCAGCTACACATAGTTCAGATAGATCAGCTACATAGATAGATCAGCTACACAGCTATACATAGTTAACACCCCTTAGATAACACCCCTTAGATCACAATCAGCTACTTATGGATACTTCTGAGGAGAAGAAATGACTGTTAAGATGATCCTCGATTCGGGAGTTTTCCATTCACCAGATTACACTAGTTCTCTAGTCGTTCCATACGCCGCCAATTACCCAATCACCTCCTTATGCCTAACGCCAAAAGTCTTAATCGATCAAGGGCTAATTAGAAAGATGAAGAAATTTCTTTTTCCTTCACATAATATGTGAACAATCTAGATTGTAGGAATGGCCTCACGAATGAATGTGCTACGTCTATACAAAGGGTTCTCTACTACATCGCACTTCACCCTAGTGGTGCTCTCTTGTCAAACAAAGAGCGCTCCTTCCTAGCTTAATTTGTGAGGCCTATGGCTGAAGAGTATAGCTTGTCCTAGTGTTATTAGAAGCATAAGGTCGTAACTAAAACTTTCAAGAATTGTTTTAAAGCAAAATTATAAAGGTTATAATTAGTTAAAAATTTCATTACCTTAATTCCTTTTTAAGTAACAGAAAATTAAAAAAATAAGTATTCGTTGGAAAATAGTTATCTTTGCAAAACAGTTAGCATAAAACTAATAATATTTAAATTGTCTGAATTTAGCATTAACTTCCTTTAAAACGAGCTTGTAAAACTATCTGCATACCTGCCAACTTTTAATCCTTTCGAGGATGATTTTCCCCATTGGTAGTAAAATGGAATTTAAATTACAATTTTAGGC